CTCACCGGATAAGCAGGGCCAGCAGCCGCGTCGTTCCAAATACTTGAGTCAGCCAGGTGGAGAAGACAATTATGGCGCCTCACTGGGCGGCGAGGGGGGCGACGGTGTGCCAGGTGCTTCATTTCGTAGCGGCACCTTATCAGCTGATAGCTTGGCAACGTCAACGAGTACGTTGACGAGCGGCTACAACAGCAGCAGCTGCATGAGCCTAGCCGTGGGTGGCGGAGATTCGCGTCCTGGCAAGTGCTCGCTACTGGACTTTAACTTTATTAAGGTGCTCGGCAAGGGCTCGTTTGGCAAGGTGATGCTGGCCGAGAAGAAGGGTACCGATGAGATCTATGCCATTAAAGTGTTGAAGAAGGACGCCATTATACAGGATGATGATGTTGACTGCACAATGACCGAAAAACGCATCTTGGCTCTGGCCGCAAACCATCCGTTCCTTACAGCGCTACATTCTTGTTTTCAGACTCCAGATCGTTTATTCTTTGTCATGGAATATGTTAATGGCGGCGACCTGATGTTTCAAATACAGAAGGCGCGACGCTTTGAAGCGGGCCGTGCTGCTTTCTATGCCGCCGAGGTAACGCTTGCCCTGCAGTTTCTTCACACCCATGGCGTTATCTATCGCGATCTGAAGCTTGACAACATACTGCTCGACCAGGAGGGACACTGTAAACTCGCTGACTTTGGCATGTGCAAGGAGGGCATCATGAACGGCATGCTGACCACGACATTCTGTGGCACACCCGACTACATAGCCCCCGAAATTCTTAAGGAGCAGGAATACGGCGCATCCGTGGACTGGTGGGCGTTGGGCGTTCTTATGTACGAGATGATGGCTGGACAGCCTCCTTTTGAGGCTGACAATGAAGACGAGCTTTTCGACTCTATAATGCACGATGATGTGCTTTATCCAGTGTGGCTGTCCCGCGAAGCCGTGTCCATATTGAAAGGTAAGATTTAATTTCCCACATATGAATATTTATTAATCTATTGCCAATGTCTACTCTTAGGTTTTCTAACAAAGAATCCAGAGCAGCGTTTGGGCTGCACAGGTGACGAGAATGAAATCCGCAAGCATGCATTCTTCAATAAACTGGACTGGAAGGAGTTGGAGAAACGCAACATAAAGCCACCATTCCGACCTAAAATGGTAAGTTGTTCAATTAAAAGTGGAAGTTAAAAATCTAACTGATCTTTTGATTTTCGACTATAGAAAAACCCACGTGATGCCAACAATTTCGATGCCGAATTCACCAAAGAGGAGCCTGTGCTAACACCAATTGGTAATGATGTTATTCGTTGCATTAATCAGGATGAGTTCGCCGGCTTCTCATTTGTGAATCCCAAATTCGGACCGGAGCGCAAGGTGTTCTAAAGTGGCGACCGTTGGATAATTGGATTGGATATGCGCTTAGTGTTGGCGAGAAATAAACCAACAAACTGGATCAGTTGAATTTTTAAGCAGTGGGCAATTCGTTGCCGGGGCTCTTACTACATGCAGCCCTATGCTAATCTCTTAGCCTATTCCTAGACTTAGCTTATCTCCCTAGCACTATAACCTACAAACTTTGCTTCCGTTGATTACTTTATGAAAGCTTTATTGTTGTCTGTTTCCAGTTGTGGTCCTTAACCTTTTCATTAGTTGTCTGTTTTATCGTTTTATGTTATATGTTGGTGAAACTACAAGAGCGTAGTTCCATAAAGAAATCACAACTAAAAACGCAAATGCAAACAGAAAAGCTGAGAATTGCAAGTTATATATAGATAGAAATGATTACATCTACTGTAATTACTGCATATATATATATATATTTGGAAATGCGTAGAGGATCTTACAGTCGTAACTACGATCAGTGCCAATAATCAACTAACTATAAAATTATTTGCAATCACTTACACACATACACATACACACGGATACGCAGGCGAACTCTAATATTAAGAATTTGTTTGTTTATACTTCTATCTTAACTTATCGCACAATCAGTCTTTCTTTCTTTCAACAAATCCATCGCTTTTGCTCGTTGTAATGCTCAAAGCCTGAAAGCAAGGCGCTATTTTTGCAGCATTACCTACCTATACCCCACTCCCCCTTACCAAAAACAATTATTATTGCCAAAAAATAAGTCCTGATCTAGTCAATGTTGTTGCAAATGCAGCGCCATGCTTTTTGTTATTAGTTTTTTATTTATTAATGTGCCGAATCTCAAGTTTCGCACCCAAATGCAGACAGCCATCTCGCAACAGCGCTATCCTATGCGACTCGCAATTCAAAAAGCCGTCTGTACACATAAGAAAATACGATAAAAAGAAACAAAGAAAAAAAAAAACAAAAAAGAAAAGAAGAAAACAAGTTTATGCGTATTCGAACTCTTGCACAATTTCCTTCTCAAGTATTAAAGCGATATTATTTTAAAGTAATTTATTGTTATACATACATACATAATATAATAACAAAAACAAAAACAAATATAAATAAAAAGCCAAAAATAACAAACACAAACTCGCACATACAAAAACAGAGCTAAACAAATACAGAAATTTAAACAATAAAACTAAGTGAAACTAAGCTTAGTCTTTAAATGAGAACAAACTTTAAAGTAAAAACCAAACAAAACACATTTTAAATTCATATATATTTTATGGAACACAAATTATAAATACAAAAAAAAGAACAAAATATGTTTAGCCTATAAGTTGGAGAACATATAAAATTTCAGTAAAATATAAAAGTATAACTATATATTTATATATGTATGTATGCATATATGCTTATAAATATGCATATATATAAATATGCATATATATAAATATATATATATATGTGCATAGAGTTAATCTAGTGTATGTGAAATATATGCAGTTAAAACTGTGAAACAAATACAAAGCAGAACAAATTATATATATAAACAGAGATAATGTATGTAATAATACCAATATTAAAAACAAAAAACAAAATAAATATATATGTGTTGATTTTAAAACCAAAGACTCAAACAACAAATACAATTTGCATAATTGAAAACAAGAAAAGAATACAAACAATTAAATCAACAAAATGAAACCATTTTATGGCATCGAAATTTGTTAGTTTTGATTTTATGATTTCAATTAATCATGTTAAATATATATAATTTATATATATACATATGTATCAATTTTTTAAAATCTAGTTTTAGTTTTTTGTTGATTTGAGAGCATCTAAATAATTGAATTTTTAATGAATCTTGTACTGCATTTACAGGAGAGCAAATTGTTTGCCGATTACTAAGTTTGATAAATTTGTATGCAACAAAATGGCAGTATATAGCAAAAATTACTAATTGTAAGCGACATTGTTAACTAAACATAAACAAAAAGAAACTTTGTATGTAATGATAACAAGCCCAAATGTATAATTAAAATAATATATTTATGAAATAGCAAGCAGAGCGCAAAGCTCTATTACCCATTTAAATGTTAACCTCAAGTATTCTCAAAACCGCATTTTACTAAACTAAAATGAAGACAGAACAAATGTAAAACATATATAAACCAATTTATAAAAAAAAAAACAAAGAAAAAAGAAAAGAAAAGAAAAACAAATGCGACAAACTAGTTCGAAAATGCAGTTGTAAAAAATAATGCAAATTATCACAAATTTACACGTACGGATCCAGCCATAACAAAGATTAGTTTATACCTATAAAAACGCCTCGGTCGGAGGAACAAGCAAATAAAATACAAAAGTAAAAACTGTTGGTTGTTACCGAACTTGAAATGGAAGCAGCTGAAGCGCATTGTGAAAAAGAAACAATATAAATAATAAATTAAAACAAAAATAAAACAAAAATGTAACGCGTAACCTGAATAAAAACTAAATGCAAAACGTAAACAGAACAAGTTGTAAAACAGAATTTTAGCTGTAAGCTCATTGAAAAATAATCAACACGGCCCAGTGTAGAGCAAAGTTTAATTGTAAAGCCTATTTGTTTTTTTTTTTTTGTTTTTGTTTGGCTAACTACTGTATTAACAAGAACAAGAACTAGACCTATCGAAACTAATAAGTTGTACTGGCCCACGCAATGAATCTGTTGAGTCGTTGACTATCAACAAGTTAAGCTAAGCTCAGGAGCAGAATAATTTATTGTTTATTGCCAGACAAGGCTTATTGCTGAGCATTATTAAACTTGTGATTATAACACTCATTAACAGATTGTGACTAAAACAATTGAAATCGCTTGACTAAGTTCTACAAGCTGACGTGCGGAACGTTTTGTAATCTCGATTTAGTTACATTACTAACTATATTTCATATGGTTAGGAGTTACCTACTACAAGCATAACCACAGTCAAATGCCATGATGACAAATACACCTTTTCATGTACCTTTGTACCTTTTCATGCAATTTAGATTCTATACATAGACAGCATATAAATTAAAAGAGAGAAAAACCAATATGAAAAATCTTAAATCTTTACTGATCTAAGACAACCAAAATTGGAGAATAGAAATTACTCATTAAAAGAATATTAATGAAATGAATAAAAAGTATTTAAAAGAAAACCCACAAAATTATATTGAGACAAAAATAATCTTTAAGTTATGTTTAAATAAATGAATAAATAAGCTACAAAGAAAAGTCAAAAACCAACAGTTGATATGTTGTAAAAAGAAATGAACTAAGAGAAGACAGTGAGTTGTTATTCAAGTAACTAAATAAATGGTGACAAAATGTAAGAGGAAGCGAGAAAGATAACCAAAGAAAACAAAATTACTAAAAATTGATTTATAATTTTAAGCGAAGATTTAATGAAAATGAAAACTAATTAATAAATAAAGAGGTAACACCTATAAAAATGTATCAATCGGGTTTTTATTGCCTTCTGATGGTTTCATAAATAACGCTCAAACTGTTTGCATTTTAAACGCGCGCCAAACCGCGATCTGGCAACACCGTAAATAAATGCAACTCTGAACTGTGCACATGGTACCCAAATATAACGAGCAAAGCAGACAAAGCAAAACAAATTTACATTGGAGCAGCACTAACTGAACATTATCAGTTTATTAATAAATTAAGCATGCCAAAAGTAAAAACAGAGAAGAAAACTCGCATACACAATGAGGTGCAGAAGCAAGGTAATTGAATTCATTTATAATACATTTCGTAATAACTGTAACATCAACTGCTTTGTAGGCATTGTTTTTAACAAGGATTTTGGTCAGCATATATTGAAAAATCCGCTGGTCATAACAACTATGCTGGAGAAAGCGGCGCTGCGAGCGACCGATGTGGTGCTGGAAATCGGTCCCGGCACAGGTAACATGACTGTGCGCATGCTGGAGCGTGCCAAAAAGGTTATTGCCTGCGAAATTGACACACGCCTTGCCGCCGAATTGCAGAAACGTGTACAGGCGACACCTTTGCAGCCCAAGCTACAGGTGCTTATCGGTGACTTCTTGAAGGCAGAACTACCATTCTTCGACCTGTGCATTGCTAATGTTCCCTACCAGATTAGTTCGCCACTGATCTTCAAGCTATTGCTGCATCGCCCACTGTTTCGCTGTGCCGTGCTGATGTTCCAGCGTGAATTTGCACAGCGTCTGGTAGCAAAACCGGGTGACAAGCTCTACTGTCGTTTGAGCATAAATACACAGCTATTGGCACGTGTGGATATGTTAATGAAGGTGGGCAAAAACAATTTCAAACCGCCACCCAAGGTGGAGTCCAGCGTGGTGCGTCTCGAGCCCAAGAATCCTCCGCCGCCTGTCAACTTCACCGAATGGGATGGCCTAACCCGCATAGCTTTTTTACGAAAAAACAAAACTCTGGCGGCCACATTCAAAGTGAATTCTGTGATTGAAATGCTCGAAAAGAACTACAAATTATATCGTTCGCTGAGAAATGAGGTACGTATAGAAACTTAGCTAATAACTCTCTGTTTAACTCTTATCTTTTGTCTTTTCTCTCCTTTTTAGCAACTTGAGGAAAACTTTAATATGCAGGAGAAGGTCATGGGTATACTAGAAGAGCAGGGCGTTAGTGGATCACGAGCGCGATCTATGGACATCGACGAGTTTATGCGTCTATTGCTAGCTTTCAATTCGGCTGGCATACATTTCAACTAAAGCAAAGTGCTTTGGACTATGGTTAATTAGCTTAAGAGTTCGTTTAATTAAACTTTGTATGTTGACATACACCGTAATGTTAATACACAAACGTAAGATCGTTTTAAATGCTTATACTTAATGGATTGTAAATACAACTTGTTCAACAATACGTAAAGAGAGTGAGAGAGATTTATGTAAATATTTTTCACGCCCGCTTAGTTAGCTCATTGATCAATTGACTCGACTCGTATTGATCAGTCAGACTCGAAGCTTGTTTTAATAAAGTTCATAGTTTCGCTACACCTGTTGGCACAATGACGGAGGCGAATGTAGCTCGTTTGCTGCTGTTCGTTTTGGCACAGGTCACTTTCGTAATGTGTCAAGATGCGGATGCATTAGCAAAACAGTGTAAATATTACAAACTATATTATTCATGCATTCACGCACTCATCTAATCACCAATTAACATCTGCAGCTTGCACACAGGTTAAGCGCGACGTATTTGAGGAACGAGTCGCGATTAGTTTCTTCTTCGCTAATGCGCCTGTTCGCTGGGAAACTATTGATTCGTGCCATGGATCACGACCGCTGATAGTCGGTGGAACGCCCGCCGAGCCAAAGGAATTTCCCCCTATGGCGCGTCTAGGCAATCGCGATCGCAACAACGACACAAAATGGATCTGTGGCGGCACTTTGATAAGCAATCGCCTAGTGCTCACTGCAGCTCATTGTCTCTACTCGGAAAAGTGAGAAATCAGATCTAAAGAAAATTCTACAAATAATTATATAACATCTTATTGCAGGGGTGCAGTAAATGTGGTTCGGTTGGGTGAATTGGACTTTGCCAGCGACCAGGATGATGCCGAGCCCGAGGACTTTGTTGTGCAAGAGATAATTGAGCATCCGGACTATAACTATCAGATGCTCTACCATGATATCGCCCTATTACTGCTGGATCGTGCTGTGAAGTTCAGCGTCTATAAGCACCCAGCCTGCCTGCCCTTTGTTGATGGCGATCGCAGCGAGAATTTCATTGCCATTGGCTGGGGTCACAAGAAATTCGCGGGCCGCGAATCGACCAAACTGCTAAAGGTGAAGCTTACAAACTTTGGAACCAGATGTCTCACAAGCACGGATCTGGACGAACTGCCCAATGGCTACAATGTGAGCACCATGCTGTGCATTGGATCCCCCGAGCTGAAGGACACCTGCAACGGCGACTCTGGCGGGCCAGTACTAAACTATCATGACGACTATCCATGCATGTACCACGTCATGGGCATCACTTCATCCGGCATTGGCTGTGAAAACGCAAATGTGCCCAGCATCTATACGCGTGTGCACTATTACCTAGATTGGCTCAGGCAGGAGCTGGCCAAGAGCAGATGAATAGCAGCCAGTCCCAAAATCGATTAGTTTTTAGCACATGAATTTACATTGATGTATATAATTGAAACAAACAAAACTTTGCATGCATACAATTGGAAATAAACAGGAAAAGAAACTACGTAGCTCATGTAGCCACATCGATACATACATAATAATAAATATTTGTATAAATGATGCTGGAAACAAGATTCTCACCTTATCATCAAATGCCACTGAGCGTTGCTTTCACATACATCGACATATGTATATGCATAAAGATCGTCTGAGATCTGAACACTTCACGTTCTCTTCGCAGTTGATTGTGCGCCCAGCTGGACGTCGGTTGTGATTAGCGGCTGGGCGTTAATAATGGAATTTACGAAACGTTTGAAAAGCGCTTTTCCCTGGAAAATGTTCTGGCTGCTGCTGCTGCTGCTGCTCACTTGCAACTTGTCGGAGCGAATTACAGATGCTCAAGACGCAGACATTGTCAGCTGTAAGTCGATCGCTATCTGTGGCATATCTAGTATTTGACGAGCGTCTCTCTTGGGCAGCATGCTCACGGTATAAGAAGAGCGTCTTCGATAAGCAGGATGGCTACAGCTTTCTGTTCCCGAGTGCGCCAATTACCTATAAGACCCTGGACACGTGTCACAGCTACACGCCGCTGATTGTCGACGGAACGCCGGCCGATCCAAAGGAGTTTCCTCACATGGCGCGTCTGGGTAATCGCAATGACAACAATGTGACCAATTGGTTCTGTGGCGGCACCTTGATAAGCAATCGGCTTGTGCTCACTGCGGCCCACTGTCTCTACTCGGAAAGGTGAGTAGTTGCTCAGGAGCTGATTTAGAAATGAATTCCCTCATTCTATTCCTGTGCAGCGGCGAAATCAATGTGGTGCGACTGGGTGAGCTGGACTTTGACAGCGACCAGGACGATGCAGAGCCGGAGGACTTTGGTGTGCGGAATACCACAGAGCATCCTGACTTCAAGTACCCAGTGCTATATAATGACATAGCTCTCGTCGAGCTGGATCGCGGTGTTCGCTTCAGCGTCTACAAGCATCCCGCTTGCCTGCCCTTCAATGATGGAGAGCGCTATAGCAGCTTTGTTGCCGCTGGCTGGGGCCAAACCTCATTTGCCGGTGCCCACTCGAGCAAGCTTAGAAAAGTGAAGCTCAATGGATTTCGCAGCAACTGCCTGCAGTCCGATGATGTCGAGGAGCTGCCCAGTGGATACAATGCGACGACACAAATGTGCGTTGGCTCCGCGCAGAACAAGGATACCTGCAACGGCGACTCTGGCGGCCCGCTCTTGACCTACCATGAGGAATATCCGTGCATGTATCATGTCATGGGCATCACTTCGCTGGGCATTGGCTGCGGCACGCCCAACGTGCCGAGTCTTTATACGCGCGTGCACAGCTACTTGAACTGGCTTAAACAGGAGATGGCAAAAATTTCGTGAGATCTAGAGAGAGCTTTAACTAAGCCGGGATTTACCATGTGCGCCATGTACTTTTACTGGGAAGTTATTTAACGATAATTTGAATAATTCAATTGTAAACTGCAGTGTTTGGTCAGCAATAAAAGGTTCAACACGGCGGCTGCGCATCAAGCCGGCTATCAATCATTTTCTATAAGTGGTTGCTGATGACGTCACGTCTACCTCTACCTCCGCCTCTACCTCTATCTGCACTTGTATTGTATTGGCGATCCGTTCCAACAGCTGATCTAGCCCAGTGCCGCCTTATGGGAGCGGGTGTTAGGCAATTGTAAACCTGTCCAGAGAGAGCAAGCGGCATTTTAGTGCGTTGCCAAGTTCGAGGCGTTTGTTGTCGTCAAACCGGTTAACAACGTGCCCATTGTGTATTTGATAAACAAATCGAAGTCGAGAATGTGGCTACGGACGCTTCTGCTTTTGGCCCTGCTGCCAATTAATCCGATCTTGGGCCAAATCAACGAAATTGTCAGATGTAAGTCGCATTTTAGGTCTGCTTAGAGCCTAATCATACCAGCGCCTCTTCCATCGACAGCCTGCATCGGCTACAAGAAGTCCGTCTTTGAGGAGCAGGTTGGCTATAGCTTTCTGTTTCCCAATGCGCCCGTCATGTACGAGACAATTGACAACTGCCTCAGCTATACGCCCCTGATAGTCGGTGGGCAGCCCGCTGATCCCAAGGAGTTTCCGCATGTGGCTCGGCTCGGACACCTCAGCGCGCAATGGAACAGAATTGAATGGTTCTGCGGCGGCACGCTGATTAGCGATAGATTCGTGCTGACCGCCGCCCATTGCTTTGAGGCAGAACAGTGAGTAATCGAGCCCGCAGAGTGCACGTGATTCTAAGCGAATCAAATTTGTTTAGGGGAGAGCTGAACGTGGTTCGTTTGGGTGACTTGGACTTTGCAAACGACCAAGAGGATGCATCGCCCAAAAACTATGCTGTGGCCGATTATTTCCGACATCCGCAGTTCTCGAGTCCAGAGCTGTACAATGATATTGGCATGGTGAAGCTGGCCGAGCGTGTTAGATTCGATCGCTACAAGCATCCGGCCTGCCTGCCCTTCGAGAGTGGCCAAAATCTGGCGTCGTATATAGCCGTCGGCTGGGGCAGCACGAACTTAGGCGGTAAATCCTCGACAAAACTGTTGAAAGTAAAACTTGATCTTATTGCAGATGAAGTACGATTGAATACCAAATTTTATACATGCATATTCCTAAATGATACCTTTCTATATAATAGGTATGTCGCCGAGTTATTGGCCAAAGCGATGACTATCCACGCGGATTCAATCCGGCCACACAAATGTGTGTGGGCTCATCGAAGCCAATGGACACATGTAATGGAGACTCGGGTGGCCCCATTCTGGTTTACCACAAGGAATATCCGTGTATGTACCATGTGATGGGTATTACATCGGCGGGTATAGCCTGCGGCACACCGAGAATTCCCAGTATATATACACGCGTGTACTACTATTTGGATTGGATTACGCAAATTATGGAAAATTTTTAGCAATATCTATATAATTATAAAAGATAATTAACCTTTGAACATTTTAAATTTGAATGGTTCTGCTTTTGACGATCTGGCAACATGAAACAAATTCTAATTATAATGTAGCGCAATTAAGTTGTTTGGATGGTTATGTTTTTGCTGGTCTGGCAATATGGAATTTCTTTTATCGAGTCACTAATTATTGCGTTTTTATTTATTTATTCGTTACTCAGTACTTTAAAATATCTATGTAAATAAAGTAGAAAAAATATATCGCCCACCACTATTGTTGTTTACAAAAAAAAAAACATTTATTAAAGTAGTGGTAAAGCAACAAATGTAATATGCGCCAAGAAGTCCATAAAACTGCAATAAAAAAAATGTAAACTATAAACTAGATATATCAATAAGTTCATGTGCTGCTAGCCGTCAAAGTGCTGCAACTGCGCTGCGCGTCAATTCCTTTCCCTTTTTTTAACGTGCGTTTGCGACGCACATTCATACACATGTATGTCGAATTGAGTCCAAAATCTAATAGTTTAAGCACAAACATGGAGCCGGACGAACTGCAGCCAATAATGTCTGATCCCATTCAGTCATACAAGACGCGTGCCAAAATGAATCCGGCTAAGAAAGATAATGAGAAACGGCGACGAAAGGATGCGATGCGAAAGGTAATTAACAAACATGTGCAGAAGTGTGCACGCGTGTGTGTGTGTGCTCGTTACTTGTGACTAGCATGTGAATATTCGTATATGCGTATGTGAATATTTGTATGCGGGTGCTATAAGCTTGCTTTTATTGCATTATTGATCGGAATTAATATTAATGTGTATTTTTGTGTAGGTTTCGCTAATTTTACGCAAATGCGATTCGCTGCGCACCGCCGAAGATCGGCAGTTTCTGGATAAGCATCCAGATATTGTGAAAACAACGAAGAAACGAAAGGAGCGCATCGAGATATACAAGGAGCGCGTCGTCGAGAAGGAGGACGAGCCGCATGTTATCGAGGCTAAGGTGGAGCAGCTGGCCAATATCATATCGCAGGCAAAGCATTTAATTTGTTACACAGGCGCCGGCATCAGTACCGCAGCTCTGATACCCGATTACCGCGGCAGCAAAGGCATCTGGACGTTGCTGCAGAAGGGCAAGGATATTGGAGAGCATGACCTTTCCAGTGCCAATCCCACCTACACCCATATGGCGCTATACGAACTGCATCGACGTCGCCTGCTGCGGCACGTCGTATCGCAGAACTGCGACGGTCTACACCTGCGTTCCGGACTGCCGCGACAGTCCCTCTCCGAGATACATGGCAACATGTACGTGGAGGTGTGCAAGCACTGTAAGCCGAATGCGGTCTACTGGCGCCAATTCGATGTGACCGAAATGACGGCACGCTACTGCCATAAGACGCATCGGCTGTGCCACAGTTGCTCGGAGCCGCTCTACGATACCATCGTGCACTTTGGCGAGCGCGGCAATTTGAAGTGGCCGCTGAACTGGGATGGAGCCACGAAGCATGCGGAGAGAGCAGATGTAATACTCTGTTTGGGTTCTAGTCTAAAGGTGCTGAAAAAATACACCTGGCTCTGGCAGATGGACAAGCCGCAACGGCAGCGCGCCAAGATTTGCGTCGTGAATCTGCAATGGACGCCCAAGGACAGTATAGCCAGCATCAAGATCAATGGGAAATGCGACAACGTCATGGCACAGCTGATGCGTCTGCTGAACATAACGGTGCCCGTCTACAGCAAGGAGAAGGATCCTATATTTGCGCATGCCACGCTTCTGATGCCCGAAGAGTTGCACACACTGACGCAGCCACTACTAAAAAATGCCGACGAGGAGGAGGCGGGTGATACACAGTCCTGTACGACGACAACAGAGGAGACGCAGGATTCTACAATTTCCGGCGATAGCTACAGCGAACTGCCTATTGGCAGGGGTCCTCGCATACGGACACCTATCAAAAATGGGCGGCGCATTAAAACCAACCTGGAGATGCGACAGAAGTATGCGCCACTGCCAAATGATAGTGCCGAGGACACCAAGCCCGAAAATGTTCTGCAGCTAAAAAGCGAAACGGAAGAGGATATCAAAGTGAAGACTGAAACGGAAACGTTGACGATATGCGAGCTGAAGCAGGAAACGAAAATTGAGGAAGAACTGGTTAAGACTAGTTTGGAAATCACAAGCATCAAGGCGGAAATGGTGCCCAAACTGGAGCCACTGACGCCCAAGCTAGAGTCGCCAAGTGAAGCCACAAACGGACATCAGCACAAGAACGGTCTCATTGAGCTGCCCAAACTAGTCGCCATACAGAAGCCGTACCCGGATTTGAACATCTGTCCGGGTATGTGTCTGTTGCCTGTGGAGCTGCGACTGGAGCCATGTGTGGCCAGCTTGCCGCCGGTGCAGCTGCCGCCGCTGGTACCAATTGGTGCACCGCTATACACTCCCTTCGTGCAACCTCTGATGCAGCCGCAGCTTGTGTTGCCGCCAGCGCTGCAGGCGCTTAACTTGCAAAGTGATAGCGCCACCTGCTCCGCTGAATCGACAACAGAAAACGATGATGACGCTGACGAGGACGACAGAGATGAGGAAGAGGAGGAGGAGGAGGAGGAGGAAAACGAGCAGTTTGCCATGGCACAAATGGATTTGCTGCGACGTCACAGCGATAACGAGCTTCTGCGCCAGCTGCCCAGCTGGTACGACGCCAAATATGCGTATTCGGGGCTGCACAGCATATTGATACCGCCACCGTCTGATCTCAACATTTGGAACTCGCAAGTGGTGCCCAATTTCGCTATGAATCGCTCTGCCGCCGGCTGTGAGTTCTGCTTCGATCGCTATGCAGAGCTCGAGTGCCAGTTCTATCGTCGCTGGCATCTCAACCAGCGCAAACACAAGAAGCGAGCGCGCAGCGGCCGCTTTGTCGTCTGCGAATGCTGTCCGACCAGCGACGATGACGATGACTACGACGAAAATATCTCGCTGGCGCACATAGCCGCTGCCGAGACGGCCAAGCGCCGGCTGCAGCTGAGCCACAGTTTTCCGCGCAAGCTGGCTCGCACCCAGGCCGGCTGGTATGGCAAGGGCTATAAGAAGGGCCGCAAGCGCAGATAGACGCCGCGGCCAGGACACGCCCATGTCGCTTCAATAGTATTCGAGCATAGTCTAGTAGCTATTATATAATCGTAAGCAGCGTATTTTAAGTATAACTATATACACATTTATATAGATATATAAATATATATATATATATCAGTTCATAGCTCGTAGTGCCACTCGCATTAGGTATTCGTTTAGGTGTAATGCAAATGTTTTTAATTTTTAAAACGAATCAAGTATTTTATTTGTCATGTAGTCGTGCAGTCCTTGGTCCAATTTAGTTTTAAGTGTCGCGATTGCAGCTGCAAGAATCAATGTAAATTCGTCATTTTATATCTATTTATAATTGAGCGTTCATTTGTTAGACATTGCATGCATTTAGTTTGCTTTTTCCTTTTATGTTCATCACAAATAAAACTTTTTTGTACAAATTCTTTGAAACGGAAGATTTAAGTTTTAAGCCACATCGAGTTATCTATTGCAACAATAAACATCGATTTATATATTGCAACATTAAAATAGAAAATATTAAGAACTTGTGTTTCAAAAGAGGGTTTGAAATAGTTCAGTTTTATTTGGAAACTCACTTTGAATAATTAAATTTTCTCAACTCTGGAAACTTGAAGTTTTGTAGAGTTACTGAAAATATTAAAGTTCTTGAAAATATTGACAAACAAACTTACCTATCATCAGGCTTGATTAGTTTTCAATGTTCCGCTCATATCTAGACAATATATATTTCGTATATCACTCAAAAATTAGAGATCATTGAGTTCCTCATGAAAATCTGAAGTGTTCTGTGAGCTTGAAGTTAAATAATTTTAGAATCACGAAAATTGAAAACAAATTGATTTTTCACTCTGAATATAGAGTCCAACCTTATCCGGAAATGGTATCAGCTGAGTTTTCCGATTAACTCTGAGAGCTTAAAGACAAGTTGATATTTTAGTCCAACCTTTTCTAATGCCATTTGTTTTATTCACCCCGGAGATATAGTGTCTTGTGTTTATACTTAATTTATTTAAAATACAATTTATATGCTTTATAATTTCATTAGCTTAAACATATAATATTGCTATTCTATTTTAGTTTTGCCTTCGTATGTGTCTGTCTCAGTGTCTTTCAAGCGATTATTGTTGTTCTAAAGTCAAACCCAAGATGCCAATCGTTGTGGGGCGGGTCGTGGGTGATAGGTGAGTGTTTGCCGGGTGCAACAAGACTTTACAAAATGACTTCAACAATAATTCAGAATACACAATATAAACAAATGGAAAACAGCAAATGTAATTTGTTTTTGTTTATAGATTAGCGTTAATCGTAATCGTTATCAGGGGGCGGCCACATACAGCACATATTATAGCTAAGACGATAAACCAAGCAGCCAATAGGCCAAATTAAAATATAATTACGCGTTTACACAAAACAAACAAAATACAAATAGGGAAAAGCAATGCCCAGGACGCAGTCAACTAAACAAATCCCAAGAGAATGGGGGATTGAATGCGATAATTGGAAAGAGAAATAGGTAGAGGGGAAAAGGGAGAAAGAAAGGAGGGAGCGCGAGCTTAGAGCACGCAACCAATTGAGAGTTAAAGATCATACGTGTATAAACATTAGGTTGGCTGTGGTTGGGTTTTGGTTTGGATATGGAAATGGTTACTAGGCAAGGACGCAAAGGCCATCACAGTTAGGCCACATAAATAAACATGTTGATATCATCGTCGTCACGTCTCATATACTTGTGTTCAATAAGCCATTCGAGCTGCTCCTTAATCATTTTCTTCGACGGAAGGAACATATTCTTCAGTATATCAATCAGTTCCGCCTGCAAGCAGATAATCCATTGAATGTCTATTATATTATATCCATACTAAATCGAACTCACCTGCAGCGCCGCATTGTTCATGCGCTTGCGCACCTTCATTATCTTAATGATTGCCTCCTGGGTGCGCAATATTCGTAGCTGCACAATGGACTGATTGTCCTCCTGTTGCGAACGCTCCGTGCTTAGTTGCAGGCGACCAATTAGATTTAGCTGTGGTTGAAACATAAGTTTCTTTAATGACTGGATTTTTGATCAGGTTGCTTCAATATTTATCTCACCTTGCCGCGACGCTGAGATTTACCATTTTTGACAATTGCAAATTCTTGATTGATATAGAACATTGTGTTCTCAGCGAAATCTTTGGGCGAACTAATGGCCACTGGCTCCATAAGCAAGATTTGCTTTTTGATCTTGGGAAAGGCGGCCAGCGACCATAGAGTGCGTCGCAGCTCGGGATCTGTTGTGAAATGAAAACGAAATTACAATCGACATTTGGATTTAGAATTTCACTTGTTCTCTAACCGGGTAGCTCGGTGGCCAGACGCAGATTCTCATAGGAGATCTTGTCATGCTGGCGCTGATTCCAAGCAAAGAGCACAGCCATTTGAAATGTTGTGACATCGAGATCGTAGCGCCCGAAATTGTTAACAAATGTGATGGTGCCATTGCTCATGTGATGATACCATTGCAGCTTACGGCCGGAATGCTTCTTCTTGTAAAACTCCTCCACATCGGGTATATAGTCCTCCAGTTCGATGGGCAACGAAACTGAGACGCGTTCCGAACAGCGCGCCCACGCCCCAGCATTGAGTATTTTTATATTGATGGCATCATGTCGACTTATAGAGTTACGGAATTGAGTATTTAAGTCCTCGCTGACCTGTTTTATTATGGATTCGAATGCAGATTAGAAAACGTCTTCATCGTGCATGGGCCACTTACCTTAATGTCCTGGAACATGCGTGCCAGTCTGTTGACATAGTCCGCGGGCATGCCCACCTCGCGTAGCCATTCAACGATATCCTCTTCCTTTTCACTATCAGCACTTGTGCCCAGGATTAAACTGCAAGCAATCAAGTTAATGCCAAATTAGCGAGAATATCTTTAAAGTATTTTGTACTATAAAAATTATTGTAGGGGTCAAAGAAGCAACAAAATCTAGGAGTAATCTGTTGCCCTATTGGTTACTTTATACATATATTCCTGCATCAGTTGTCGATCTATTGAAGGTCTATCTGTGTCACGAATCTATTAATGTGACTTACCGCCTCGTCAAATGGACTTTATGATACCGCATAAAGACATCCTTGTTGTTGACATACTTCAACACGAGCAGCACATCCCGCAGACGTGCATCGATTTGCTCGCTAGTGAGGCGCTTGCTGAGCGGCGTGCGGCGGAGCAACATGTCACAGTAGTTGGCAAGTAGCTCGGGGCATTTGCTTTCGGGCGCAGTGTATTTGACACCGCGATTGGCAATGCTCGTGGGCAGCTCCATTTTGAACACACTGGTGTCGTTGACCACCATTTTGAAGGCGATATCTCGGGCAGTGAGAAAGCGCGGATCATCGTTGAAGGCATTGCGCACCAGGTCGCTAAATCTGTTGAAGAGCTCCAACAGTCGTTCCACATACTTCTCCGAGTCCTGTGTGATTATCTCCGAGGCGGACTGCATATCGGCCAGGCCAGCTGATTTTATATGCCGCTGTAGATCGCCCATCATTGCCTCGACACCCTCGCCATCCATCACACGATCCATCAGGCGAAACATGAGATTCAAGCGATCCGTCTCGTAGTCGCGTATCAGCGCCGGACACTCGGCTATAATCGAATTGAGATGATCCACAATGAGCACCTTGACCAGACGGCATGTCAATATGTTAAAGCTGCTCGGCTCTAGGTAACGCTTAGCGCGCACCTCCTCTTCGCGCAGCTTGGCATCCGCGTACTTCATATAGGCCAGCACACCGTTCTCCTGTTGCTGTTCAGTGGACTTGAGACGATAGAAATCGGCGGTGGCCTTCAAATAGGCCTTCTCAAAGTGCTCGCGATAAATTTCCAGTTTATCCTCCGCATTCGAGGACAGATTGACATAGCTTTCACGTACACCGACTACCAGTTGAGCATCATACGCATCGCCATTGCGTTCGGCGTGCACAATCTTCATGGCAGACTCCTGAAGCCGATCCTTGATGTCATGAAAGATATGCTTGTTCCACGAATCCAGCATTAATTTGCGCACCGGACTGTCTTCGGTGGGACTCTTTTTGGAACTGGACCCCCCAGCTGAATTGCTGGCGCCGCCACCACTGGTGGAAGCACCACTCGTTGCCGCTGTCGATGTTGAGGGCTTTGATGAGGAACTGAGTGAGGGTGTTTGATTGCTGGTTAAGGCAGCGGCATTTGAGGTGGATGCCCCGCCGGCACCGACAGTTGATGACGACGTGGAGTTGGAACTGGACGCGGGCTTCACTTGCGGCGACTGCTCTAACTGTCGAAAGGGCAGCGGCAGGTAATTGGACTGTGTGAAGAATTTACGCCATTCTACAATGTAGGTGGCCAATAGCGCTTGTTCGCCCCGCTGCGCTTGCACCTTGGATTGGGCCTGAACAATGAATTCGACAATATCCTGTTGGAGGCCGTCGTATATCTTGGCAGCACCCTTCTCGTCCCAAAGGCACACGAAGTGTACGCCAAAGAAGAGCTCTTGCCATTCGAGCTGTGATACCGTCTCCTGGCGCAGCAGCTTGAGCACAATTTTTCGCTTCTCAGGCCATACTTCGTCAAATATGTCCCTGTCCCGTTTGCCTATCGCCCGCAGCATGGTGTTTGTGGTCGCAGTTCCTTTGTTCGTGGCTACGCTCTACTTCACCTTTGCGTTTAATTATGGAACCAAATCAAAAAAAAAAATATTGTGATCAAAAGAAACGCTATTTCCTCCGCCTATACGCGGCCGATAGTAATTTTCAATCGATTTCTTGTTGTGAAAGTGCGATAACAGTTGATAACAGAACTTTAACATAGCGATAATACAGCACAGCTGTTATTCAACATAATCGATTATTTGCATAAATGATATATGCAATTATCTGTTGCATTTAGTGTTAAGTTTTTAGGGTCTATATTTAATTTACTGCTTATAATATTCTACAAATTATTCTTATCAAGTCTAGTATAATAACAATTAATAATTTATCGGAATGGCCAATTGCAATATGGTAGCATGTCGATAGTCTGTCAACGTGCCTCTGTGAATGCTGTCGGAGCAGCTGCAAAATGCTTGCACGCACACATAGATAAAAAGTGTAGATTAAGTGCCAAGTGCTGCACTGCGTGTATGGAAAAGTGCGGGAAATTTTTGCAACGAGACTGTCAAAAATAGTGTTAAGGCAAAATAATTATAAGCCAGCAATTTCTAAAAACAAAGTGCAATGAAGACTGTCAGCGGCATAACAATTGTATATAAGCAACAAAATATTGGTGGCATGTTTTGTGAATTTCGTAAATCTCTCGTTTCGTTTTGGTTTTTTTCTTCTCTACCACAAAAAAGGGCGCGCGAGTGAGACGACAGTAGTGTCCAACAAAACACACATCCAACTATCCCGCCTACTCGCATGCGACTACACGTCGCAGACCCAAAGTCTGCTCGCTCTCAAATGTTTGACATTTTTCACATTCAGCATTTTCCCTTTGTTCGTCGGCGGGTCTCGTCATATGGCTCGTATAGACGCTCGTGCGTGCGTAACAAATAAAATTTAAAAAAATAAATGCCAAATATCGGTGTTTTAAATTTCCAATAATAGTGCACAAATGTAAATAAACAACTGTTACATGTACAAGTGAATAAATTCATTGAGAAATATGCGTAAAAAGCGTTATTTCGTGATTACTACGGCGACGACGACATCAAATCCAACAACAACAACGAGCTGCTGCGTTCATTGACGTGACGCGCGAGTGTTAGTGTGTGTGTGTGTATGTAAATGAGTGTTTATATGTGCTGGTGTGTTCGTGTGTTGCGAGTTGTTTTCAAATAAATAAAATACATAGCAAAAGTCACCAGCAACAACAACAATAATCAAAACACCACACACGAAATTGCAGTAGCTTATGCCGTTGGCGCCTAACCGCACCGCCAAACTGCATACATACATACATAAATAAAACAACGTTACATATATTTACATCAGTTCAGTCCGCGTGTCTTGTTGCGCGCAAATTCTACATGGAAAGAAAGTATGTTCAACAGTCGATGCAATCTCTGCAATAAAATGTGAATTTGTATCTGTCTTGTCTCTGTGTGGGTGCGTGTGTTTCAGTGTATAGAATTAAATAAGCAGTATAAGCAAAGAAAGTTTAAAGCAATATCAACAGCCGAGCAACAACAAGAAGAAGAAGAAGACAACCATCAGCAACACAAATGAATCAATCAAATTCTTTTCAATTTTAAACCGCAATTGTCTGTATCCCGAAGCATAAAACAAGGCGCATAAATTTTTGCCAATGAGTCGCAGACAGTCATTGGATCGACCAGGTGAGAATTCAAAAAAATTGCCCTTACCTATTGTAATTAGCATTTCATTTCATTTACTCAGCATCAGCGGCCTGCATACGTGCACTTTGCGCGCATACTCTCGCTGTCGCTCTCATTCCTTTTCTCTTTTTGTCACTATCGCCGTCTCTCTGTGTCTTTTAGAGAGGGCTCTCGTTGCGTTGCTCTCGCTGTTGCTGCTGCTGCTAAAAATAAATTGCTCTCGCTGCTCTGAAAATGCTGCGCAGCGCAGCTGCTCTGAGCTGTCAGTGTTGCTATATTTTGTTGTTGGTGTAGCAAACAACAGAGGCAGCAACAACTGTGAAAACAAGCAACAGCAACAAAACGCCAAAACTGTTGTGATACAAAGCCAAATGTACTAAGCGTCCGACCGACCGACAGGGCAGTGAATCTTTCTTTCCCCCTTTCTTACTTCTTGTTTTTGTTCGCTGTGGTGAATGGTGAATTTCTATGTCTACCTTTTGAGGTAACAAATTTTCCATTGAGAGACACAAAAGTTGATCGGATTGACGCTCGTTAGTTTTGGCAATATGGTTTTATGTAGATGATTTTAGTTATGTCTTTGTTTTGATGCGATTAATGTTAAGTAAAAACCCAAAAAAGAGAAAGTGTCGCGAGCGTTGCAACATTTTGTAAATGTAAATGTGACCCAAAAGTCTGAGAAAGCAGCAGAAAGAGGAAAGAAAAAAATAAAATAAAATAAGCTAAAAACACTCTCATGCTGCTGTTGAGATACATTTGTATCTTTTTGTTGTCGTGCTGCATGAACATCCGTTTTCAACGCTTATTTACCCGCTGGCTTCAATTTTCACTTGTCTCTTGTCATTTAGTCGGTCTAAGGTCGCCCCATAAGACCTAGCCGCGTGCCATTATAGCCAATTATAGCTGCAATTAAGTTAAACAACGTAAACAATGTGCGATTAAATGCAATTATATTTACTGAACTTAACATGCAAATAAAACAATGAATAAATCTCACTTGTTTTTAACATATTTATTATTTAGCTTAGGATTTATTGTGAAATTTTGACTAAATATCATCTGTAGTGAAAGCTCTTGCCATAAATTATCAAATTTATTAAAGTATACATTTTTATAGCTGTCCAATTGCATTGTCGCCTTTAGGCCTTAAGCCCATAAGGTTTGTTGTTAGGAAACTCTTTTCAATGTCAAATACGAAAAAGTCACAGTTTTTCCACATTCTATTTGATGTTTTTAAAATGTATAATATATATATATATATATATATATATATATATATATATAATGCTATAACTATTCCGTTTGTATGAAACGTCCCACCTTGATTGATGCGGTAACGCCTACACACCCGGCAAAATGCATTAACCTGTTAATTTATTTATAAAATTCAATGTTCACGCGGCTAAGCGCCAGAGCCGAGAACACAAATCGTTCTCAATGCAAAGTAGCTACAGTAACAACAGCAACAGCAATGATAATAATAATAACAACAAAACTAACAGCAAAAAAATAACTAGGGGCAGGCAGGCAGTCGAGTTGGTTTTTGTTGTTGTTATATTTGTATTTTGTAGGTCAGGGTTGTCGCGTGTAATGCAAAACGTGCCAGCAAATTGAATGAATAAAACGCGCTCGGTTCGCCTGCTTGCAACCACAACAACAACAATGATAACAACAACAAACAAGGCAACAGACTGAGCTAATACGCCACAAAAACTGCATAAATTATAAGTAATAATAATAACATAAGCTGCGGCGCGAATTGTATGCATTTTTAAAGGCTTAAGGGTTCTATGCCTAGCACTTGACGCAAACTCATAATTTATTTCAACAATGGATAAACAAAAGCGTTAATAAATTGTTGGCACGCGATGCAACAGCTGCATTCATAGTCAAGTCTGCATTTGTCAAACACTTCGCACCCTGTTGCCAATGAGATGAAAGGTTGTTAATATTCTCTTTAAAATAACTATAATATATATATATAAATACATCTTCTCTATAAAGTTTAAATATTCTTGGGCAGTATAAACAGTCGAGTCGATCTAATCCGTCTGTCGATCTAATCAGTCTGTTCATATGTATGAAAGCATTGTATCTTGCTGATCAAGTTAAATTAAAACAATCGATAACCATGAAATCGATAATATTGATGCTGTGCCTAGGCTATTTGTGCGTGAATCATAAAGTAAAACGGGCGAGTATACATTTTTGGAATACCAACTGATTTAATTCAAATTTGACAAATTATTCGCAGGGTATCTACTAGTTAGCAATTCTATAAAAATATTCAAAATTATATTATATTTTGCTAGTTGATGTTATATATTTTCTACAGTTAGATTAGGTTATTTTTGTTCCTGCTATTATGATGGGGTTTTCTTTGTCGAAGCGTGTCTATAGCTCATTAAATGTATTTAAAATTCTAAATCGATTTTCTGCGCTATTAGATGCCTATTAACATTGTGTATTAGCAACTGGCAGGCCATTGTTTATAATCAATTTGTTATTTGTAGATAAACTAGAGTTTAGTTGTTTAGGTCACAGCATTTCTATACATTTATATTTATTTATATGTAACATATATAAATAAATATAATAATTCAGGTTATTCAAGGACGTTGAACAAATCGTTTATAGGCGTGTGTTCCGATAAGCACGGCCCAATAATAATTTGGACCTTTATCGATTGAAAGATAAGCAAAGGAATTATTTTTGTTCTGTTGAATTTTATATAAACAAAATATTTGATGCTACTAAACGGCTTTATTTTGTGGCCATTGTGATTGTTTTTTGCTGCCAAAACATTTTATTATTTCCAGATAATAACAATTTGATCTGTTTATAATTATTGTGCATATAGCCGCCGTTGCCAATTTGATTGTTTTGCCGTCAATGAAGTAGCGGCTGGTGGAGGGACTTATACAAATAACGAAATACTATTGGTAAAATATGAAAATATAAGCTTGCATTCCTTGCATTGCATTCTTAAATATATATTATCACAAGCACAATGAAAGTATTTCTACAATTTTAAAGTAATGAGATCAATTTCCTGAAAAAAAATTACACACAAAGATAAGCAATCATAAAACTGCTTGGAGTTAATGACACAAACGACAAAATTAAACTTTGCTCAAGAAGTTCACGTACAAACATTTTATTGATTTGAAAATATCCTACATATATAACTCTATAGAAAAAACTGTACTCAAAACGACTTCTATAATTGATATTGAATCGCTTGATAAGAAAACTGATGCAAGTCACTGTGTCAATTAAATTAAATTTACGAATAAAGTAATTAAGTGAAAGAGATTAGTTCAAGGTGGAATATTCACTAGTTATATATATATATATATATATATATATATATATATATATATATATATATATATATATATATATATATATATATATATATATATATATATATATATATATATATATATATATATATATATATATATATATATATATATAATATATATATATATATATATATATATATATATATATATATATATATATATATATATATATATATATATATACATATATATATAATTAAAAAAACTTGATTTTACCGGACTTTGGATTTTCGATCTAACTTTTTCACTAAGCTACTGAATATTATTTCCTGAAATTAATATATATAATACTTAATTGATTATCACTAACATGGCTTAGTCATCAGACAGATAACGTACAGCATTTAATTGGCATTAATCACGGGTTTTTAGTATTTCCATGATTTCATCACAGTGACTGATAAAGACAAATTCAAGCATTTCAATAGATTTTTGTGTGCTACAACACAAGTACTAAAACTTATTTAACTAAACCTCATACAATCTTAGTTTTAAGAATTATTTTTACATTTCTTTTCTTGATAAGGATACCAATTATAGAGTTAATATTTCTCTAAATCCCTTGTCATTCTTGCTTATGTCTACTCTCGCTTGCATATGCATTATAAAAATAGAACACTTCTCAGTACTTCAGTATTTGGCTTATCAGCTTGAAGTCAGTCGTCTAGCAAAGGTTTTTGAGAGAGCGCAATATGAAAACTAAGTCTGCTCTCTCTTCGACTCCAACTGTTCGCTCTCATTTGCTTTTCTCTTGTTTTTTTTCTTATTTTCATTTTTGCGCACTTGCTTAATGAGATTTCGCGCCTAGGGCTTATCATGGAAAGTTTGAAGTTTGTATTTATTGTGTTCATTATTGTGTAATAACTTAATCAACACAACATTAACTTTAAGTAATCAAATTTTGGTCATATTAGCATTAACAGGATACTAAAATATTGAAGAGTCATCAAAACAAAGAAGGTACAACTCAAACGTAATAGCAATGTAGGTACAACTCAATAGCAATAGGAAAGTAGGTACATATAAGGTACAGCTCAGCTATTGCTCCTGCATGCCTGTCGCTTTTTCCTTAAACTCATTGGCGTTGTCTCAATTTTTGTTAATCCGTTTTGTTGTTCGCTTTTGTTGCAACTGTTTTGATTTGAAGTCTAAAAAGTTTTCTCATTGAAAACATTATAGGAATCTTTGTGGCTGCTGAAAGCGTACAAAGGTCTCTCTGCGTGTGTGGGCGCACGTACGTGTGCGTGTGCGTGTGGGTATGTGTGTGTGTGTGTCCATTAAAAGTTTACACTTTTTGGGGGTTAATCGCTGGCATCAAAGTGGTTGCTTTGGTCGGCTGGCTGGCTGGCTCACTGGCTGGATGGTGGGCGATGTGTATCTATCTATTAAAAAATCGAGGCGAATCGAGCGAATCGCGTCCCGGAGTGGGCAAAGACGATGCCCACTAACGCCGACGACAACGACAACGACCCGCGACGATGACGACGACATCAAATATTTTGAGCGCAACGTGCGCTCTCTCAGGAAATTGTTTTTGTTCAAATAGCAGCAGCCGCAGCAACGGTAACGGTAACTGTAACAGAAACAGAGTGACAGCAAAATTAACGCCAATAACAATGCGAGCGCGAGAGTTGTTTTTGGGTGCAACTCTGTTTCCTTATTGTGCTCTTTCTTTCATGCCTCATTGCTGAAAATATGTTGCTCAAAAGTAGGCAGCACTTGGGCATACACAGATTTCTCTAAAAATAACAAAAAAACACAAAAACAAAATAAACGAATAAGAAAGGGAACTGAGAAACAAATTAGCAGTGCTATATTTCATGAAAATAAACAATCTGGTAGCTTGTAAATCTTTTTAATCATTTGCCATATATATTCATGACACTCTCTGTGTATTTATGTGTGTGTGTCTGTTTGTTGTTTGCCAATTCCCAATTCCCAATTTCCAGCTCGATTTCGTGCAGTTTCCGATGCCTGTTCGTCTCACAGCGTTGTTTTGTGTGGCACCAGTTGGGCATAAATTATATTAGACTAAATTTTCCCAGTCCCACCATTAACCCCTCCCTTACTCTACAATAATATGGCGTCAACGGATGCGGTTTTTGACTCTGTGGTCATGTGTGTATGTTGTGTAAGTTGTGTGTGTGTGTGGGTGTTTGTCTAAGTCTATAGCACACGTTTATTTAATCGATTTTGGTAACAGTTGTGTTGCCATTTTCATTAAGGGTTATTCCGGCTTGATCTGAGCAATGGCAGTGACACAACAATGAGCCCATAGAACGCAAACTAAACGCTGTTCCCTGTTCGGGTACAGGACGAACGCATGTTCTGCCATCGGGTCGCCATCGTGTGTTTTCAGCTTCCATTTGTTCTGCCACAGCTACTCTCTGGAGAGTTTGTCCTCGGGAGTTTTTGATTTTCGACATGTCGTTGCCGCAACCTTCTGTTCCTGCCGGATTCTACTTGATGCTTGAATTCAACCCTTTTTTCGTTGTGTGCACACGCACAGAAACACACACATACGCACGCAAACACACAGACACGCACATACACTCACACGCATAAAAAGTTTTGCATATTTATTATAGATAATTTGTGTACAGGTTTTTGTGCTGGCGCGCAAACTCTCAACAACGTCCTGCGAGCATCCTGGCCCAGTCCCATTCCATTCCATCGTCGTTTCCCGTCCTTGTCTGCTGCTGCATATTTCGCATATGTTGTATATGTTCGTTTCATGGCGAGGGGGCGCTCTGTAATTAATTTCTGGCTTGTACAAATGTGAAAACCGTACAAAAAAAGTAAATAATGATTCGGGTTGATTTTTAGCATTTTTGATATCTGGCAACGCTGTCGCTGCTGCAACGCTGTTGTCGCATTTTTTTGTGTGTGCAAACTCCCAAGTTTGTGGTTCGCATTGAATAATTAAGATTAATGTGAATATCAAAATTGAAATTTTACTTATTTCACTTTATTGATTTTTCTTAAAAATTCCCAAAATACTAATAAATGAAAAAAAGTGAATATTTTAAAAAGATAATACAATGACTATTAGTGTGTGGAAACATTTGCTTAAAACTTACTCGAATTTGTATTTAGAAAATATCAATGAATATAAATTGAAATACAAATGCTGCAAGGCCAATTATATAGTAACTTAATTACCCCTGAACACCTTGACTTGGCTTAGTTAGTTGCCAAATGTAGACTGGTTTTTTGTCTTTGTGCAATTTTAATATATAATTGCTACTGCATAAAAATAAGAACCAATTGCTGTTTAGTTCTTGTTGATATTTGGTGTCACTTGAATTCTGAAAAGCAATTAGATCAATTATAAAATCAATCATTTGTGAAGCTATAAAGAAATCAAGATTTGAATCAAATATACTCTTATTCATTTGAACAGAGTATCATTCTATTAAAAGCAATAAATAATATGTGCAATGATTGCTGCTAAAGATTTCGAGCGGAAATAACGATTATAATTATTGATGTCTGGCAATAAACTCGAAAAAAACTTCAAATGCCACAGAGACAGCCGCTGCAGCAGCAAAAGCAACAGCAGCAGCAGCAGCATTAACAAGAATATCAACTGTGATGTTATTTGACTGGCCTGTTTCCTGTTGCTAGTCTTGTTCGGCCACATGTATTTCCTACACATGGCACATACTTGAAACTCTCTACGACACAATGGCTTGTGGCCCGTGCATTGTGAGCTGTTGGGCGAGTATTAGTAGATATTACGATTGCAATTACGAGTATGACAAGGGGAACTTATAACACTCGAGCGCACATATTTGCGGCACCCCGATCCAGAGCCATCCTACGTTCAACATCTGCCTGCTGTACCATATAGAAATCATTCATGTGCTCACTCTTACAATGGCACTTGACATTCGCATTAACCTCAACGCGTTAACTGGCTTGAGTTTTGGGCTAATGGGCACATTGTTAGGCCTTGGGCGTTTCTGTTCCTCTTTCAGTTTCTCGGTTAAGCGAAATTTTACGCGTAAACGCATTTTGCATAACTTTGCATGTAATACGGGAGTAGCAAGGATCCTTCTGAATAACAAACAACGTACAAACATAAATATATATATATATATATATATGTCTATATAAAATGGCAAACGCCGCTGGGTTATCATAAAACAATTCGCAGCATTTGGGTTTGTTTTGTCAAGTTTGTTTTTCGGCTTCTGCTACGCTTGGCAAGTCTCGCCCATTGTGAATTGACTTCAATACTCTCTCGCTCTGGGCATCATTGCTATGGCAGAGAGCTTGCAACTCGATTCCAATTAAAAGGCTTACCATTAATAATAAAATTCTCTTTCAGGTAACGTACATTCAAATACCTCTTAAGGTCGCAATTCTGAATTTCTTTTCAGTTTGTATGCTTCTCGAAGTGAATTTGTTAGAGTAATTTGTGGTTATTGATTGTGTTTTTCGTTTGGCTAGCTTCATTATAAATTCGTGGTAAACATTTACACAAGTGGCATCGACGGTTTCGACGACGTTTTTCCCAACAATGTTTATGAAGCTGATGATGATCATAATGAAGCTGCTGCTGCGAGTCGCTGAAGTGTGTGCATATGCGTATGGCTGGATTCGGGCACGTCTTTTCGCTGTCAGCATGGTTCAGTGGCAGCTGGCTCGGCACAGTTGAATCTGTGGGGGAGTTGGCAGTAAAGTGCCAACATGTTGATCGGAATTGCCTTTAGGAAATGATTGAAATTAATGCAATAAACGTTGAGTGTATTAGAGAGCGTTTGGACTTACAATCTAGAGTCGAAAAAGGAGTCACGCAATGCAAAATGGTTGGACCGACCCAAATTATTCTACTCCGTAACCTTTGACAGCAGAAGGTCTGCTGCAATTTTGTTAGCACATGCAACGTAAAAACTTTTTTAAACTCAGCAGCAGACAGGTTGAACCATACCCGACGCGGAGTTGAGCCTGACGGCATTTGCATAGCCCTTGAGCCGAGCTCGCTCCAGGGAACAGACGGTACACGGCATGAATGAATTATATTACAAAGGCAGTTGTGCATAAACATATATAGTATATAAACTGTGTACAATTTTATATATAACAATTTTTTTTTTTTTTTTTTTTTTTTTTTTTTTCGTTTTTATTTCTTTATTTTGTTGCAGCTTATTGTCTTAGACTCTATAGCGCATTTAGCTCTAAACCTTAACTAATGGGAGGGCAGATATGCCAATTATTCTGCACTTGTAGCTACTATCTTAATTAGTTCTAATATTGTCTAGAGGATGCAATCTCTTCAGTCTTCGCCTATTGTTGTTTATAGCCAGGTTGCTTGCGAGATGGTTAGGATGCGCTGCAAGTCTGTCCGCGTATCTTGAACTGTGTCGCCCAATGAGTTCAGCAACTGTGGGAATTGCTAAATCCCTATGTAAGACTGAGTTTCTTACAAACCAGCTGGCTCCAGTCCATCTGCGTAGTGCTTTATTCTGCAGGGTCTGAATTTTGTTCCTTGTAGTCTTCGCCGAGGAGCCCCATAGAGAGATACCATATACGAAGGTTGGGACAACTATTGCCTTGTAGATGGCGGCCTTGCTGCTGTAAGACAACTTGCTTGAAGCTCTCAGCATCCAGTCGAGGGTTTTTAGCTTGCTTTTGCATTTTGAGGTTACTTGACTTATGTGCGCTTTAAAAGTCAGCCTTCTGTCAAGAGTGATACCAAGGTACTTTACTTTTGAGGCTTTGGGAATAGTGGGCCCCAATGCAACGCTTGGGCAATCTCCTCTTCTAGTGGCGAAGGTAGTATGTACAGACTTTTGTGCATTAATGGTGATACACCACCGTTTTGCCCAGCGTCCGAAAGAGTCCAGATATTTTTGTAGTGAGTCTGAAGCTTCTTGCGCAGATACGTGACGTGATAAGATGGCGGTGTCATCTGCATAGGTCGCTATGAGTACTGCATCTGTACTTCCTATATTTGGCTCGGGAGTTGGCATATCTCCTGTGAATAAAGTATAAAGTGTTGGGCCTAGAACACTACCCTGTGGTACTCCAGCCATAATTGGTCTAGTCAAGGATACTGTTTGCCCCCTTGACACTTGGAAGGTTCTTCCAATAAGGTATGAGGATAGCAACGCGAAAAATGGGGCTGGAAGGGTGGTCCTCACTTTCTGCAGCAGTCCCAGGTGCCAAACTCGATCAAACGCCTGTTTGATGTCTAAAAAGACGGCAGAGCAGTACATCTTTTCTTCAAAGGCTCCAAGGATATGGTGCACAACTCTGTGAACCTGTTCCGGTGTTCCATGCTGTCTCCTGAAGCCAAACTGATGGTTTGGAATGGCCTCCTGGCGTCCCAGATGTGTCAGTACTCGTTCCAGAAATATTCTTTCGAATATTTTGGAGAGTACTGGCAACAGGCTAATTGGTCTGTACGACTCAATTTCTCCCACGGGTTTGCCAGGCTTAGGAATCATCACAATCACGGCGCGCTTCCAGCAGGCTGGAAAGTGCCGGATGCGGAGCATGGCGTTGTACACCATAGTTATGTAGTCTATGGTGGAGTCAGGCAGTGCTCTAAGGACTCTGCCGTTTATTAGATCATATCCAGGGGATTTTTTTGCCTTCACTCTTCTGATGTGTTCAAGAACCTCTTCTTTTGTACATCCAGTTATCTGGTCTTCAGCTGGGAGGGGCGAGAGAACGATGTCTTCTGTTGCTTCGATTTCTGAGGCCTCTGCGGTAATCACCGGCGTGAATTGGTCTTGAAGGTGGTTTGCAAAAGCCTCAGCTTGAGCTTCGTCTCCAATGTGCCAGGAACCAGAAATGCTCCGAATGGGATGACGTCGTATTGGCTGCCGTTTGAGCTTTCTTGTAAATTTCCATAATTGAAACTCTGCGTCAGTGGGCGATTCAGCTCGTACCAGCGCATCGCTGATACACCTCTTTTGAAGCAGGGCGAGAGCAGCTTTAAGATGCCTCGTGGCTTCGTTGTACATGGATTTGGCATCAGGCGTGCGTAATCTTAACCAGCGTCTCCTGGCCCATCTTTTGTGTATTAGTAGGTGTTGGGCCTCCAAGGTGAGGGGGATGTTGTACGGAGACTGTTGTCTTGTTTGGCAAGATGGTGGGGCGGCTTGGTGCGCAGCTTTGACTATTTCTTCCTGCAGTTTGTTTGCTGCGTAGTCCACGTCTTCAGGAGTGTTAAGTTCCATTTCTATGTGCAAAGAGTAATGGAGCTCGCGCCTAAAGACTCCTAAATCTGATCCTGCTGGCAGTAGTTGTTTCCTAATGGGCAAGGGCTGTGGCTGCGCGTGGATTGTGACTATTAGTGGCAGGTGGTCAGAGGATAGGTCCAAGGATTCTTCAATGGTCAATTGCCGGTCACAGATGCCTTTGTAGACAGCGAAGTCGATTGCCGAGGGCCTGTGTCCATTAATTGGGTAACGGGTGGGGGCTCCAGTCGCCAATATGCTGAATTGTAAGTTTTGAATCGCCTCAAATATGACTTCTCCGCGACGATTCGCACTATTGCTTCCCCAAAATGGGTGCCATCCATTCCAGTCGCCGCCGATGAGGGTCTTATTCAACCTTTGGCCTAGAACCTGTTCCATGTGATGATCACACAGACCAGTGTTTGGCGGAAGATAAATTGACGCAACTTCGATCGCTCCAATAGACGTAGGCAGGGTGATGGCTGAGACCTGCATTGTTGCGTTGCAAATTGGCAGTAAAGGTGTATGCGGTATTGTTGCTCGTATGAGGATTGAGGATCCACCAAAGCAGTTTGCTCCTTCACCATGAGCCTGATAGTGTTCGTATCCGAAAATTTGTGTAGTGGGGCACTCATGAGTTTCTGTTATTAACATTATATCTATGTTTTCTTGTGAGAGAAACGCAGCCAGTTCCTGAGTCTTGTTTCTCAGGCCATTGGCGTTCCAGATACCCACACGTAAAGCCATTATTTGTAGGCAAGCTTGGTTATGATGGCCATTAAACTGTTTAGCATGGTTGCTTGTTGGGATTGTACTTCTCGCATCGCTTTGAGCTCGGCATTAATTGCGTCAAACTGACGTTGTTGTTGCTGAAGCATTTCAGTGAACAAAGTGTCACTTGTGGTATTCTTATTTGACGGTCCACCTCTAGCGGCCTGTGCGTAAGAAACACCACTAATAGGCGTTGCAAAGCTCGTGGCTTGGGTAATGCTCCGGGGCCTTGTAATTTCGGAAGCAGTACTCGGACCCGTAGACGGTGTTTGTGTGGGACTCCTTTTTTGTGCTGGGGATTGCAATTTGCGCAACCGCTTGTATACTTGGCAGCCCTTATAGTTGGCTGGGTGCTGTAACTCACAGTGCACACAAGTTGGTGCCTGGTCCTTTTCGCGGGTGCAGTCTTTGGATGCGTGTTTCCCGGCGCAACGCACACATCTGGGAGCTTTGTGGCAGTAGCGTTGTGTGTGTCCAAATTCTTGACAGCGATGGCATTGTGTCAGGTCGTTGTATCTTCTTGGCAGTTCCACTGTGCAGCGTTGCCTGCAGACAACTCGAATGTCCAAAATTTCTTTGTTGTTGGGGGCCTGAGCCACGTCAACA